AGAGGCTCAGAGAAAATTCTCCATGACTAGGAAAATCCACAGGTCAAGATCTGCCTTTCTTGCTCCTTGTTTCCCAGCAGTGAAGGCAGCATAATTTTATGCAGCGTGATGTTGGAGTGGCTCAGTGACTAAGATGCTGAGCTTATGATCAAAAAAGTCAGCAGTTCAGTGGTTCGAATCCCTAGCGCCATGTAACGGAGTGAGCTCCCGTTCCTTGTCCCAGCTTCTGCCAACCTAACAGTCCGAAAGCACGTAAAAATACAAGTAGAAAAATAGGGACCACCTTGGTGGGAAGGTAACAGCATTCAGTGCACCTTCAGCACTTAATCATGCTGGCCACATGACCATGGAGAAGTCTTTGGACAGCGCTGGCTCTTTGGCTTTGAAACGGAGATGAGCACTGCTCCCTAGAGTTGGGAACGACTATCAGATATGTGCGAGGGGAACCTTTACATTTTTTTACTGCATGAGATGCAGCATTGGTGAAATGGTTCATTCGTCCCCTAAGGATCCCGCCAGCATCCAGGCTATTTATCCAAGTAACTTTTGCTTATCCTCTGAAAAAAAAAACCTGCCTGGAAAAAGACAAGTTTAAACCTCAAGCAAGCTGCGCGTTTGGCACTGCAGTTCATAGCCGTCAGGTTCATATTTGCTTTATGCTGAAAGTAGCCCTTTTCAATTTCCTGAATAGAGTTCTTAAGCTACCCACATGGCAGCTTCCAATCGCAGGGCAACAAAGGACCAGCTCCTGCCAGGCGCCTCTTGATGAGAATGTAACAAAATCCACATGGCAAGTCAACACTTCAGAGGAAAGGCACCTGGAGCCCTCTAGCGGTTGCTTATGGGATCACCACCTACAGATCCATCTCTTGCTGAGCCCATCCCAAAGTTCCTCTCCACGGAGACTGAAGAGGCTACAGTCTATGCACCAGACTGGGCAACGACAGGGTTTCTTTCTGAGCGTTCTCCTCCTGCGCCTTCAGCTCTTCTCCATCGTAGCTGCCTTTGAGAATGGACAGTCTCTGGCTGAAGGGCTTATGGTCATAGTAAATGACAAAGTTGTAAAGGACAGATGCCAAGACTGCACCAATTAAGGGGCCCACCCAGAAGATCTGTAAGGAAAGATCAAAGCTAAGTCAGCACAAGGAAGGCTTCTCATCAGTTGACCTAAACAACAACCTTATTTATCCCAAAGTCAGGAGCTCCGAGCCAAAGATGCTGCATGATCTTTAGCAGTCCAACTGAAGTGAATTGAACCTAAGTTACTAGGTAGATCATGGATCTACCTACACCTACCTAGATCTACACTAGATTCGTTTCACTCACAGTTTCCCAAGATTTAATTCCTTTTCACTGCCTTGGAATCAGAACCCAGGTCACTACAACCTTTAACATCTACAACCAGGATCACAGGTCAGAAAAATCAAGACAATGGCAACAATGATGAATGAANATAATCCCACACCAGTGCAGTTCCTCCTTGGGTTCTGTAGGAAATCCGCACCCACCCCTCTCCTAGAAAAAATGAAATAGCCTGGGAAATATTGAAAAGGCAGAATATTATATTTCCCCGGATGAGAAATGGAGAAACATGTTTTTAGGCAGGAAACAGACTCACTCTTAATAGTCCCCACCTTTCTCAATGGGCCATTAGGGGCCCTGAGCCAGTCTACTCTACGTAACAAAGATCCCTCCTCTTCAGGTCCAGTGTGATGGGATTAAGGCATGATAGTATTAGCCCTTTAGCCATCTCACTACAGGGCACCTGGGAAGAAGCAATATTCAACCAAACGTGGACTCAAGACAGCCTACAGAGTTGCCCCTGCATGGCCCCATGGGAGTCTGACAACCAATCTGAATACATTTCTTACCCAGGAACAGGGAACAGAGAAGTGGGACTGAAAAGAGAGTATAAAAAAAAAACAGCAAGCCCCTCCTTCCTCCCCTTTTCTTCTTCACCCAACATCTGGAGGCATGTGACCACCTTTTCCCCCAGGACCTCAAGCCATGTGGTCCTGTCCACCATTAAAACCATCTTTCCAAGCAGCCTCCATGTTTCCAGGTGTTTTTTCCCCCACTTGGAGCTGAACCCAGAAGGACATTTCTCCCGACAGTTCATAGTGAATACAATTAAATCCTACTGATAGTTAGGCTTTCAGGGTCTGGCCAATTGGATAATTCTTTACCCCACTTTTCTTCCACCTACACCTTGGAATAGTGGGGGATGAGGATACAGAAAGAAGAGGGTTTTACCCACTGCTGAAGAAAATCCCCAGTTATAACAGCAGGACCAAAGGATCTGGCTGGATTCATGGAGCATCTAGTGTAGTAATGCTAGAAACGAGAAATCGGAAGAAAGGATTAGGAAAGGCAGCTCTTGCGGAAGCCCCATTCTCTCTTTCAATGTTGCACTTCCATCCAAATATTTTTTTTGTCACTGTAGTCCAAACTACTACAGGTAGCCCTCGACCTATGACCACAATTGAGCCCAATATTTCTGTGGTTAAGTGAAACATGTGTTCAGTGAGTTTTGCCCCATTTTACAACCTTTCTTGACACAGTTGTTAAGTGAATCACTGCAGTTGGTTAGTTAGTAACACGGTTGTTAAGTGAATCTGACTCCCCCCCCCATTGACTTTGCTTGTCAGAAGGTTGCAAAAGGGGATCATGTGTGCTTGGGACACTGCAACCGTCATAAATATGAACCAGTTGCCAAACATCTGAATTTTGATCACGTGAACATACAGATGCTGCAAAGGTCATAACTGCAGAAAATTGGACACAAGTCGCTTTTTACAGTGCTGTTGTAACTTTGAACAGTCACTAAATAAACTGTTGTAAGTCGAGGATTACCTGTACAGTGTTGGGATGGAATCAGAAGTGGTATTCAGCCAGTTCTGACCAGTTCTGGAGAACTGGTAGTGGACATTTTGAGTAGTTTGGAAAACCAGCAAATAGGCTGGCCATGCCCCTGCTGCCTCCCAGCCTCCCAGCTGATCTTCTTTTGTTGCCCCAAACAGGAGAACAGAACTGGAAAGCAGGTTAGTGGGGTGGGGAAGGAATGGGGATTTTGCAGTATCCTTCCCCTGCCACGCCCACAAAGCCCACGCCCACAGAAACGGTATTAAAAAAATTTGAATCCCACCACTGGATGGAATCCATATAAAACAACACACTGGCAGAAAATGCTTGTGTAACTTTCTAGTCTTAAGCCTGACGTTGAAGACTGGATGTTCTTTGGTTCAAGCAGCCACTCCTAGTTTCCTTTCCCCTAAAACAGGGGTGTCAAACTTGATCGTCACAGTAGCATCACATGACCTATTGGGACCCCCCCCCTTCGTTAAACCAGGCAGTGGCGGAGCCAGCACATGACGCAACCGGCCCGCAGGCCGCGAGTTTAACACCCCTGCTCTAGAGTGTCTCTTTTGCTTGAGGCAGGCTATGGTCTGGGTGAAATATTTGGCCAACAGGGTGTGCTGTGAGCTTTGTGATGTCAGTTGTGCATCACACCACCCACTGTAGTGGGATTATCTATGAACACAGTTGTAAAAGCTTAGAACGTTGATTGCCGTAGGATCCACTAGCTAATTTCAAATGTTCTCCCAAAAATACCCCTCACTTGTTTGCATTATACATGGGCAAACTTTTCAGCCAGGAGCCCAGTCCAGCTGCCCCCAACCCTTAGCGTTTACAAGGCAATTTAAACAATATCTGTTGCCTTATTCCTTTCTTCCTGGTTTTTAAGGGTTCTCAGCTTTATCTGGCTAATGCTGGCTTGGGCGTATTCTCTCTTTTATTTCCAACATTGATTTTTATTTTGCTTTGAATGCCTATTCCCTCCAAAGAGCGCTCTCTATCATTTTAAAAGCTTGCCTCTCGCATTTTAAACAAAATAAAACAACGCCTGTCTTGCTTAGGGCTCCCGGGTGTGTATTTTCAAGTAATCGTCAGCCAGTTCTGGTAGCCCTACTCTTATCTTGCTCAGCGTCTCTTAATTTACTCACCCCAACCAAGTGGCCCAGGGCAACCGAGATGCCAATGATGACAGCAGGGGAGCCCTTACTGCGTTGGGTATCTGTGGATGCAAAATAACACAGAACCAACTGTAGGGTCAAGATGAGCTCAACTGCAACAGCCTGTCCACTTGAAATATGGATGATCACCTAGGGCAGAGAAGGAAGCAACAGTGAAGGAGACTTTAACCATATGGCTGGCATCTTTTCTGCCTGGAAAAAAGGATTATTATAGAGGTTTTAGGTTACGCAAATGCAGGATCCCCCACAGTTCAATCCGAGCACTTTGTTATAAACAGCATAATCCCTCTTATGCCAACACATCATTGGGGGGGGGTGTCCCTCCTACCTCAACATTTAAGGGGAGAACCCTGAAGGATGTATAGTTCTGTGCAGGTGGCTCCAGGTGGAAAAACGTGTGACTTTAACAGCTGGCTTTTATATTTCTCCAATAGGGGAAGCCAGCAGTCATCCCTNACCCCTGACCCAGGAAGAAAAGGCTAGGAAGGGAAAATTAAAAGAAGAAAGCTATGCTGTTAGCCCCATGCCTCTCTTAAAGCAGCCTATTGCCTGAAAAGACCATAGGGCGTCACTGTCAATATTGAAGGAAGATTTAACTGCTAACCCAGTTAGCTTTTGCATGTGGAATGGGGAGTGGTAGGAGAGATGTAGACCATCCCATTTCTGACTCAAGCAGAAACATTTCTTAGGCAGCTCTGTTGCTATGCTTTGAAAGGAAGTCAACCTGGCCTAAGCGGGACAAAAAAGTCAGGGTTTGTCTTTTGTGATAGAAATGTTCTAGGCATAACTCCTGTCCTCTGTAGGGCACCAAGCCTCTAGGAGTAAAAGAGAACCCATTTGAAGCCCCTTTAGGAAGTAAGAATATGTGGTTTTTTTAAAAAAAACAATCACTTGATTTATGTGCTGTTTTTCTTTACTACTAGCAACCTCACAGACCACCACCAGAGGGCAGCATAGATTTACAGAGAGTTTTGTATCTCTTTGCTGCCACTTATAGGACAAATCTGGAATTCCGTGGCCCACAGCTGGTTAACCCTATTCTTCATGCCAGCAACTGAAACTATTTATGCAACCGCCAGGGTGTTGCCTCCTCTGATTTTAATCTTAGGAAGTGGGTGAGACCAAAACTGGTCTGCCATATGCAACCAGAAGATGGCTATCACCTCCCAGCTTTAAAAATATAGTTGTTACCAGACTGAGCTACAGTTAAGATGTCTAAACAAAGTCCTGATCAGTTTTATGGAAAGTGGTTCTGAGAAGCATTGCAGCCTTGCTACTTAAAATCCCATGATAGCCCCCCCCCCCCCAAATACCTGCCAGTAAGTCCATGCAGATGGCTACAGAAAGTTAAGCAGCACTCTATGGGAGGTTTAGAGAAATTTGTGGACTTGTAATACAGAATGGTCATTTTTGGTTTTAATAATCCCACACCAGTGCAGTTCCTCCTTGGGTTCTGTAGGAAATCCGCACCCACCCCTCTCCTAGAAAAAATGAAATAGCCTGGGAAATATTGAAAAGGCAGAATATTATATTTCCCTGAATCAGAAATGGAGTTTTTAGGCAGGAAACAGACTCACTCTTAATAGTCCCCACCTTTCTCAATGGGCCATTAGGGGCCCTGAGCCAGTCTACT